AAATATGAGAGGTTAATCGCAAAAAGTTAAATATTAAAGTTATAGGGGTTTTAAGTTTCATTTTTTTAAATGGAACCCCCTGTATATTATTGCATATTTCAGTTCCTCCTTCAATTCTAAGCAAAAATCGAAATAAACACAATGTACCTCAAACCAACCGTTTTCGAGTTATTCACTTTTAAACATATCCCTTAAACAATTCGATTTCATTAATTTCGATGTTCGGTTTCATTTAACGATGCCATTCTGCGGAAACTGTGATACTTAATGATATTTGACATTAGTTTTCAAGTTAGCATTTATAGATGTATAAAATGAGATTATATCAAGTCTGGAAATTACAAAATTTTTGTTTAACACAGTGGCGGACTAAGCCTGTCGGGGACCCGGAGTGGCGAAGCTAAATGTGGCCTCCGGTCTGTTCAGATAACGATATTCTTCTAATACACATTTTGTAAAAATCGAACGACGTATCTATAATGGTTGAAAAAATTCAGGTATTTATACAGAGTGTCCCAGGCAGAGCCTGCATTAGAAGTTTCTAAAGAACTACAATATCTACATCCGAGATTTTTTGCATATCATTGTTTCACAACGAGATCTATCGATTAAAAATATTTTCAATATGGCGGCACTTCCGGAAGCACCAGAAGTTGACAGCAACTTTCTTATTTTAATTGGGTGTCCCAATTTTTTATTACATATTTAAATTCTCTGTAAAATTTTATGAATTTTAATATTAAACACTCTATACCTAACGTTTATGAGAAAAAAAAGATTATAATCTTTGGAGGAAGAAAACTACCTGTCAAAAATATGTACATAGCCTAAACGTCAAATTTAGTGATTGTTACAGCCACTGTACCATAAAGAGAAGATATGTGGCTATCTAGTTCAAAAATTAAATTGTCCGAATGTCATATAATAATGGCCACAACTATCACGGAATTGAGCGATTAAAAAATTATCATAAATATTTTTTTTCAAATGGAAATCCACTTTTTTTATTGCACTTGTGAAAAGGTTTTCGTTACTTTCGTTTTTAAAATTTGTTAGTTTTTGACTATACATGTTCTTGTACCTAAAATTAATCGTTTTTCCGGACACCCTGTATACTGTAATAATTATAATAAAAATCCTTATAGATAGCAGAGCCGTTTTTACGTAGGGACCTGATGGGACTGAAGTATTAAGGGCTCTAAAAAGGCCTCAAAAACGATAACATCAATTTTTTAAAGCTTATAATAATATTTTTAAATCGAAAAACGAATGCAACCAAACCAAACCAAACCAAACAAGTAAGTGCAAAAGTAAAGTGTTTTGGTGTATTGTAGTGAATTAGTGTTTTATTTTGCTGTTATAACACCAAAGGTTCCAAACCCAACTTTAATAAATTAGAAGTATTAAATTATTGAACATAATTTTGCTGACGAGCCATATACTACCATTCACGGGCCATGCAGTATTAGATCAGGAAATCCCCTACCGAATGTATTTAATGGCAATGATGACAAAGTGACGGAAATACCGGTTCCACATATGTGCCGCGTTACTTTCGCGACCGTTCCAGGGAAATACCGCGACAAAATATCGCGATTTTGTAAGTTCTACGAGATCCGAGGGTATCAGATTCCTTCGCTGTCTCAGGCCCGTGGCTCCCGATATACTAAAGACAGCACTGCTCATCATCGGTAAAGAAGCTAGAATATAAGTTATGCTGTGTATTGGTTGTAATTTAAAATGTTTATTCAGTAAAAATAAATAATGAAACCGTTGAAAAATAACTTAAAAGCTGAAATAAATAAATTCAGTCTCAAAATATATAAAAAATAATAATTATTCGATATTTTAAACAAAGCCCTTACCCCTTGATTTAATTTCCTAAATAGAAAATGCCATTGACAATTACTGGGGTCTGATATAATTGATAATTAAGTAAAATATCTGCTTCCATTTATACTGCTTATAGTTTGCGTATACGCATGGTTTGCATACTCCATCTACAAACTGCTTCATAACTACTGAACACATATTGGCCTTGTTTGCCAGTTGAATAAAAATTTATTTGTTAAGATTCGGAGGCCCCCTAAAAGACGGGACCCGGGGCGGACCGTCCCTTCCGCCCCCCCTTAATCCGCTACTGGTTTAACATTTCAAAATAAAAACTTCATAATTCGGAAGTTGTTGAATTTAGGTACATAATCATACTACACATAATGTGCACCAATGAGTCAGACTTGCAAATGGATATAATACTGTCGATGGATTGCCCAGTGAGCAATATTTTATCACATTTAAGGCGAATTGCACACACATGTTTCGAAACTGTTACTTTTATGTGCTCAGTATACGTAGCAAGTGACACAACGCATTTAGGCAAAAATTCGGAATTCTGTCAATACATGTGTGAACTAATACACAAATAAGACACTTATTACTATTTTTATACTACTATTTAAAAAAAAATAGTAGTAAAATTTAAAAATTTACCAAAAAAATTATTTCCTCACACATCGTTGTCGCAAAGGATACACATCATGGCACTTTATTTTTTATTAAATGGCTACACATAAAAAAAATATTAACTTCTGTATTTTAACAGTAAGCTAGGCGTATTAACTTTGAAGTTCCTCCTGCAGTAGTCCAATAATAACCATAACATTTTTGGTGTAGTTTTTTGATATACCGGGTGCGTCTCAAAAATGGCTCACCCCTATAAGTTTTTTATTTTTTCAGATAATAAAACGAGATTTGGTATGTTAGTATATGACATAAATTAGGATTGATTGACGTATTCAATTGTTATTGGGCACTTCCTGTTTTACCGGAAATGACTACAACTTTTGATTTTTAAATAACACCCTCGGTATTTCTTTACCTTATTCGATTGAATATGACACTTTGAATAGAATGACATATCATATGTCAACTTTTGACATTTTCGCATACTGTTTATTTGAAATTGTAACACGCGGTTCATAACGACAATTTGACTGGAAATACCAAGTGTGTGGTACCGAATTATTCGTAAAAAAATATTTTTCCAAATATGCTAATGGGCCACCCTTGTTCCATTTGAAAAAATTGAGATATTATAAAAAATACGATTTAGGCATCTTTTAACCGGCAAGGACAAGACACGAAAAACATTAGACGGTCAAATCTATTTTTCCGAGGTTCCTTAATTAAAAATTAGTGTTTTTAACGCAGCCAGAAAATGTCAAAAGTTGGCATATTATATGTCATTCTATTCAGTGTGTTACTTTCTATCGAATAAAGTAAAAATATACTGAGGGTGTCATTTAAAAATCAAAAGTTGTAATCATTTCCGGTGAAACAGAAAATGACCGAAAACAATTGAATACGTCAATCAATCCTAATTTATGTCATATATTATCATACCAAATCTCGTTTTGTTATCTAAAAAAAAGTTATAGGGGTGAGCCACTTTTGAGACGCACCCGGTATAAAAGATTGCAACAAGGACCACAAAACAAATATTGTTTAACAAAAATATTTTTTAATCTTAGTTTTGACACACAATAATTTTAATTTATGCAACTTACCTTCCCACATATACCCATAAAATATTTTGTTTCTACGTCTTCCCGTTTTTGTATAATTTAATCACTTATCGAAATTCTCTTAGAATTAACTGTAGTAGTTATTTCTTCAATAATATGCTATTTATTTATCAAGTATTTAGACACACTGTACGAATATTACAGTTTATAACTTTGCTAAACGATAAATCAAAGCAAGAAAATTCCCTTTTCATAAAGTGCCAACTTTACGTAGTACACTTTACGCTATGCGGAACTTCTTAATTGTTTTTAAAACTCCGGAAGATAGGTAGATGCAGGTGGTTGCTGACAAAACTTCCAAAGAAGTTATGTTTAATAACGTCAAGGGCGTAGCTTTACTAGAAGTAGGTGTGAAGGGTATAATTATCCCCCACTCTTTCTCTATCATTATAAAACGTTGTTACTATTAAACAAAGTGATTTAATTAATCAAAAGTCATGAAAAACTGAAAATAATAAAAAGTTGTGTTCGTTTGTCGTTAGGGAAACCAACCACCCTTTCGTTACCGGTTTCGGGGCCTATATCCCATCATCAGACGAGCTAAATGGACTGAATTTCAGTAGAAGTACTGAACAGTAGGACCGAAACAAGGAATATGTTTTCCTGTAAGCTGTAAGAAGGCTGTAAGCCTTCAAAGCCTTAACGTTACATTTTTCCAGGCGGATATAACAACAATCCACTATTATGTAGAAGAAATAATAAGGCAGAAAAGAACACACAGTTCAGTTGCCAACTTTAGACATCAGACAGCCAGGCGATGTCGAAGAAACTGTTTTTTTGTAAATTTATTATATGTGACATTAATGATGTAAATACATTATTAGAGTAGTTAGAGATGAGTGTACCTTTTCATTTTATATTATTACTCAAAATCTCTACTGTATTTCATGGTTGTTTTCTATAAAAGGTAGAGGGAAGTACTGCATTTTAATTCTTGTTAATTTAATGTCCCAAAAGGGATAGGAGACATGACTGTATTTATTGTTAGCGTAACCTATCGTCCTGGTTTAAGCTTATATTAATTCAGTAAGAATTAAAATAAAATATTATTTTTGGCTCACTAGTAGGAGCGTTCTAATTTCACGATTTTTCTTTGTAGAGGTGGACTACGTTCTAAAAATTTCTGATTAAAATCTTGAAGATCCTAGATAAGAAAGAAAAGTCATTCGTCGAGTGGGGGTGCTGTCCCATTTTTTGTTATAGAACAAGGGAGCTAATAATAAGAGCGTTACAAAAGCGGAGCAACTGAGGAACAAAAGAAAATCGATAGAGAATAGACAATACATTTTTTTTCTGGGCCCAAATTTTTCGTTTGCCTAAAATTTTATTTTATAGGGGAAAATAATTTATATAGAAACTCTAAATTTGGGTAAATAAAATGATGAAATAGAAACAATAATAAAAAAATAAAAGTAGTTTATTTCATCAAAATAAGCTAACAAAAATCAACTAAAATTAAAATCAGACTAGAATGGACAAAAATGATAGCTCATCAATGGGCGTTTTACCAACTGGGTTGCCATCCGTGTGGTTGCCATCCACCATGCTGCTTCAGAGTGACGTAACCGCTATGCGCATGGACACCAATAGGTGCGGTGGTGTGTAAACCTACGGGCACGGGCACTTTAACGGCTACCTTCACTGGCACATGGACTGGGTAAGGCTTGGCAATCACCACTGGGTATGGTTTGGGAATGTTCACGTGAACTGGATGAGGCACCTTGACGTAAACAGGTGTTTTGACTGGAACAGGAACTTCACGGGGCACTGGAACTGGTACTGGGCGTTTTACTTCGACATGGACTGGAGTGGGAACATCTACATGAACTGCACGAGGTACTTCGACGGGTCTGGGTACTGGAACACGAACTTCATAGGGACGGTCGACTGTTACTGGAACTGCGACGGGTTGTGGAACAGGAACGCGTTCGAATCTGTGGTCGTAGGTGGTTCCGTGATCTACTGTACCAGGTTCAGAACCGTGCGATGCTAAATGTCCTCCCGATGCGAAACTTTGAGCTCCAGCGTTGGCTCCAGAGAATCCAATTGGCCCAGAAGCGAAACTTTGAGCTCCAGCGTTAGCTCCGGCGAATCCAATTGGTCCAGAAGCGATACTGGATGCACCGGCGTTAGCCAGGCTCGATCCAAAACCACCAGAAGCGAAACTAGAGGCTCCGGCGTTGGCTGAGCTGAATCCACCTAATCCAGGACCGGAAGAAATTGGGCTTCCGACTGAAAATGATCCGCTAACAACTGGTCCATGGCCGGCGAAGGCTGGAGCGGGTCCAGCATTGAATCCAGACGGTCCGCTAGACGCAAAAGAGCCGCTGGAAGCGAGACTAGATCCTCCAAAACTGCCAGGATACGATCCCGCCGAAGCGAAAGACTGAGCACCAGCTCCGCCATGGGGGCTCAGGTCGGCGCCGAGGGGCACGCTGGGGGCGGAGGGGGCGTAGCCCGAGCTGAAGGGCAGGCCGGCGGCCGGGGGGCTGAGCTCGCCGTGGAAGATGCCGCAGGAGCCGAGGGCGGCAACGGACAGCACGCCGAAGAGTACCTGGAAAGTAGGATTGCTATTAGTAATTAGGAAAATATATCAAAGCCACAAAGATTTAAACCTCAGTTTGACATAACAGACGATGACTAGGATTTTTTCTTGCACGGTTCGTGCTTTATTAACATCTACAATGTATTGTTTTCAATGTAATGTTTACAATGTACTTGTAATAATAATAATAATAATGTGGATAATACCCATAATTGGATATTTGTAACTGGGATTGTTGTGGATATCGACATTTGTCGTTTTTTGTCAATTTTTTTGTCAAGTTTGTGACATCTTCTAGGATATATGTAGTTTTTGAAATGGAATCCTATACAGGGTGAGTCTTGAATAAGTGCAAATATTTTCCGGACTGATAGATTTCTATAAAAGAAATATTTTTTCTCTTTACCGTTTTTCAAATACGTCCAAAATAACCGAATTATATTACTTTGAAATTTAAATTTTGTAATTTGGTTAAATTTTGAGAAGCACTGGATCTTCTCTGGGTTTTCTTTCTTGTAAATGTAACCTACTACCTATGTTGACATAGTATATCTTTTTATCTCTTTTATTATGTTTTTTAATTAAAAACTGACGAAATTTCCGAAAAAAAATAAAAAAAAAATTTATATTTTAAAATATTTTTTTTCAAAAAAACTCATATACGTGTTTTTCTGGGGTCGCAATATACAACTTTTAAAATATTTGCACTTATTTAAGACTCACCCTGTACATTTTTCTCAATGGAATGGCCCTAAAATTACAGTCCCAAAAATAGCATGTCATAACTTATACAGAGTGTTTTTTAAAATTGGCAAATTAATAATTACAATTTATGATAATTATGCAACAGTGTATGGCAAATCTACTAGGTAAAAAATATAAAGGGTTCCGTTTCCTGTTTAAAAAACTACAATGTAGTGTAAAAATATATTTTAATCTTCCTGTATATATTCCTGTATCTATGAAAATATTTTTAAAATGTGCGCTATCATTGCCAGCATATTGTCAAGGTCAAGGGCTAAAATGTATTACTGGTTGCGTGCACAACCGCAACGTGTCAAGAAAAATGGCGTATCCGCCAGAAATTAAAAGACTTTTTCAGGCGCCATCTTTTAGTCAAGTCGAGAAGTAAGGGAATCAGACAATGGATTTGTCTGGTATGAAGAAGTACGCTTTCCGAGAATTGGGGAAATTTCGAGAAGCAGTCAATAGAGTATATAAGCCGGAGCCATCGACAACTGAGACAGTTTTTGAAATTTGAATATACCGCGTGGAAATTGAAAATCGGACAATTTGGTGAAGGAATCTTATAAATAGTTAGTTTGTTGTGTGTTATAAGTTAGTAATTGTGTATAAAGTGAGAAAATAAATTCGTTAAGTATTTTATCGTGAGTTTAAATTAGTGGACCCACGGAATCCGTAACAATATTTTCTAAAAAAGATTGGTGTAAAATTTTGTTTAACTTGTTTTTAGCAACCCTGTACTATTCAATATCGTTTGATATACTTTTCACTAGTAATATCACAAGGGGATAAATTATTTCCGGAATTTTTTTCGAGCTTATGAATATTTTGAAAATTATCCCTAGTCAAAAACAATAATGGAAAATTTTTCTAAAAATATTCATGAGCGAGACAAAAATGCAAGATTTAATTTAACCTTGCGTGGCTATTCGTTATGAATATTTCACACCAAATTGTGTTTAGAATCATTTTAAAGTTATATTTTTTTGATTTTAGGCAAGACACGAGCAAAGCGTAGAAAGTTTGGTTGGCTTGGTAATTCGGTTGCCATGGTAACTAAGAAAAACCCTAATTTGCTTTTGAAAGCTGTCAGTTTTGTAATAAAAAAGTTTCTCAGTTTTGTGGCGTGTTTTTATAATTTTAAAATGAATCGATTTGAAAATCATGTACGCAATTTATGTGAAAATACTATGTCAGATTGCGGTTGCCATTTGGAAAAATAAAATTCGTTTTGAGTTGTTCAGGAATATTTTTGCATCTAAATTATTTGAAATTGAAACTATTAAATGGAAAAATGGTAAATAGTATGGCCTCTATACCGGGTGCGTCTCAAAAGTGACTCACCCCTATAACTTTTTTATTTTTACAGTTAAAAAAACGAGATTTGGTATTTTAGTACATGACATAAATTAGGACTGATTGACGTATTCAGTTGTTTTCGATACTTCCTGTTTCACCGGAAATTACTACATCTTTTAATTTTTATGGCACCGTAAGTATTTTTTTACTTTATTCTATAGAAAATAACACTCTGAAAAGAATGACATATCATATGTCAACTGTTGACATTTTCGCATATGGTTTATTTGAAATTATAACTTGCGGTTCGTAACGAAAATTTGACTCGAAATACCAAGTGTGTGGTATCAAATTATTCGTAAAAAAATGCTTTTCCCAAATATGCTAATGAGCCATTTGAAAAAATTGAGATATGACTAAAAATACGATTTGGGTATTTTTTTACCGGCCAGGACAAGACACTAAATACATACTATCAAATCAGCAATTAATTAATTAGTGCTTTTAACATAACCATTGCACTCTAGATTGAAATTTAAAATACGAATTTTTATTAAGCGAGAATGTCAAAAGTTGACATATGATATGTCATTTCATTCAGAATGTCATTTTCTATCGAATAAAGTAAAAAATACGTCAATCAATCCTAATTTATGTAATATACTGACATACCAAATCTCGTTTTTTATCTGAAAAAACAAAAAAGTTATAGGTGTGAGCCACTTTCGAGATGCACCCGGTATATTATATTGGGTGGTGTATTGTTGTTGGAAAATATAGACAATATTGTCTCCACTTCTGATTTTACAGCAAGGCCGTAAATAGGTTTTTTAAAGGCCAGCGTATGCTGAATACACGTGCCAAAATTGAACAATTTTTAAAAAGCCGATTTTAGCTAATTTAAGAAAAACTGCATCTATTTTTAAATTAAAACTGGCAACAATGCAAAACCAAGCAAATTCCAACATATCTTAAGTTGTCAACCTATGATTTTGTGAATGTTAAACTGTATTTTCTCTACGCTAGGCCTTCACCTAATTCGAACAAAATTTAAATTTCAAAATGCATTTTCGGGACGCTAACCGTAGGCACTATGACGTAGTAGTATAGACAGCACAACAAATTGCATTTGACAATGATAAAATCATAGGTTGACAACATAAGGTATGTTGACATTTGCCTGGATGCCATTGTTACCTTGTCCAGTTTCAATTTAAAAATAGATGCAGTTTTTCTTAAGTTAGTTAAAATCGGCTTGTTCAAAATTGTTCAGAATTTGGTATGTATATTCAGCATACCCAGACATTTAAAAAACCTATTTACGACTGCTGTAAAATTAAAAAGGGAGCCAGTATTTGGACAGTTCTTATGTTCCCAAATGGGAAGATGTCATAAACATTCTCTCATTCTTAGAAATAAAAACCCATAACTTTATATCGTTGGAAAGGGTTAAACGCCAGCATTTTTTTAAGTTCATGGCCAACTACGATTTCCATTTAAAAAATTATATTTTTTATTATTTCTGACATAAAGAGCAAGTATAAAAAAAACTGACTACGCCACTGGATTATGCCTAAAAAAGTGCCTTAAGAACGTTTTTACAGAATTTTATTATTCCGCGAAATGAAAAAGTTATGGGCAATTTTCAAAATGGCAAAAAAATCAAAAAGACCCCGTATCTCAGTTGGCAGTGAAAATATCAACAGGCGGTTTACGCCATTAAACGTATCTCAGAAATCAAGCTCATGACATCTATGTCGGTTTTGCTGTATCTAGTCAGGAAATAGGTTTTCTCTGTTAAACAGACTAATTTCGACCACCCTGTACATATACAAGTTGTCCCAGAAATAAGTAGAGATATTTTAAGGGGTGGTAGATCTCGATAAAAGAAATATATTTTCTCTTTACCGTTTTTCAAATAAGTCCAAAATAACAGAGAAAAAATGATTTTTTTGTTTAAAATTTGAACCACTGGATCTTTTCTGTTTTTTTTTCTTGTAAATTTAATCTGCTACCTATGTTGCCATATTTTTTTAAACTTAAACTGTTTAACCAAACACTAAAAAATTTTCCAAATTTTTTTTCAAAGAATTCCAAATTTTCAGTTTTTTTTTGCGAAATATATATATAGTTTCTGGGGTCGAAATATAGTACCAGTTAAAATATCTGTACTTATTTCTGAGACACCCTGTATTTTATCTGACATACAGTATGTCCTCGGATTGTCTTTACAAATCATAAAAATCATCAAGTCTTCACAACTCATAAAAATGTTTGCTTGTTTTAAAGTGGTTAATGCCGCTTATACTTTTCCAAATTTCCATACCGTTTTAGAGAAAATTACAAAAAAAAACATGAAAATCTGCTTGAATTTTTAAAGTCCTATAAATCAAAAGTCGTTTCTATGGTAATACAATTGCGATTTCATTCAGTGATTCAGATTATTATTTATTTTGATTGACGTCATATTTTATGCTGTAGAAGTATCACATTTTCCGATAAAGATTAAATAAAAAATTAAAAAAGAATTCTCGTAAATTGTAACTTATAGCAGAGAAAATTGTCTGATTGCAGTAAGTACAGTTCTCACTAACAGTTAAAATGATGCTTGGCGCGATATTATTGTTTATTTATAAAATAGTATTGTACCAACTATTTTACTACATTGTTATAAAAAAAATGTAAATTTCTGTATCGCTGTGACATAAATAAAAATATACATAAATTTTACCTTATAGCAGAGAAAACTTTCTGATTGCACTAAATTGTCGCAGTTCTGACTAAAAACAGCTAAAATGATGCCGGAGGTACAGATTCGTACAGCAAACGTTTGTTACTTTCAGCCTAGACGCTCTCTTTGAAATTTAAATTTCGACTGGTTATACAAGTTTTCCACCTTATGACGTACAGCCGCTCGTTTTAAACATATTCAGAATTATCGTTTTTTTTTCTCATTGTTATTAAAA